AACACACTACCTCTTTACATCAAGAGTAGAATCAAGTGTAGCTAGTCTAGGCATGGGCACCAGAGCATGAACTGTATCTAGATTTCCTCAGTTGTGTTCTCGGTGCTCATAAACATCATGCATCCAGAGCCTCATAAAACCTCTCGGTGCTAGGTTTGAGGGCACCTAGAGGAGCCGTAGCGAGCAGTCTTAATTATGTTCGAGCGATTAGGGGCAACAAATATGAGATTTTTCCAAGATTTTGCTGAGGTTTGGGTAACGGGAGCGCTCCGCGCCACTTCTAACAGAGTCCAAATGGCAAAAGCTCGCACCAGACAACCTGGATGTTGCCCTAGGCATCTTAGTGCCCAGCCAACGGTGGGAGCTTGCTTCTTTCCTTCACACGTGGCTCCTCCGCGATTGCTGCGGCTTCTTTCCCTGGCCGCCATGAACGCTGAACCGTCCCTTCTCAGCGCGGTTCCCCCTATCGCATGCAGCTCCGCAATGCGACAACACTTGCATCTTATCGTTTGGAGCCGAGTGGAACCACGCGCGATCCGTACCAAATGGCCGCCCTAAATCTCCTGAAGCCGATGGATTCACGCAGCTACATACAATGGTAGACGTTCTTAAGAAGCTCGCAGCAACGTTGGATCATGTCGACCTCTCTCTGTGATTTCCCCATGTGTCAAGCAAGACGCGGCTTTTGGCTTTCTGACGCGGATTCCGAACTTCGCTGCGGCTCGCTACATATTGTCTTGCGCTCCCCGCTTTCCTCGAAACCGCTTTATCTTTGGACATGGTTGGCAAAGTTCCTTCTTCAAACATCCTCCACAAATCTGGTTGGCGGCGTGACTTGTAATCGTCGCCATCCAGTAGATGAGTTCCTGCTCATCACCTCGCATGCAAGCCCTATGAGACAATGTCAGGTCATTTCAAACTTTGGAATTTAGCCGCGTTAACCAGCGGGCACTCAGTTTCAGGAGCCTTAGGGCGGCCAACTGGCAAAGAAGTTGCATCAGTTATCATTGGATAGCCCCAGGCGGGTGTAGTCCTTTCCATCCACCGCTCTGATATCTAATTCCCTTCCACCAAGCTGCCACGCCAGTGGTACGGAAAACGCGACGGATCCGCCAGCTGCCGCAGGGATGAGAGGTCTTATACTAGCTCGAAGAACGACCGTATTATTCCGTATTACCACCGCATTCGGTACGTTAGCGCAGACACCAGCGGTAGTATTAGTCGTTTCCTTTGTGATGGATCAGGAACGGCCAAGGGCGGCGGGTATTTCTCGTGGAAGGCCGGAGAGGTATGGTCAGTCTGAGAGGAGGAATACTCCTTTTGAAAGGTATAGTCAGATTGAGAGGAGAAATAGTCCGCTTGAGAGGTATGGCCAGATGGAGAGGAGGAATAGTCCTCTTGAGCGGTATGGTCAAATTCAGAGCAGGAATAGTCCTCTTGAGAGGTATGGCCTAGAGGAGCCTCGATGGAATGCGCCCGTCCTATCGCGAGCCACTACTACAAGCTACGATGTCTCTACTCAGGACATAAGAGGAATTTCTCGTCCGATAAGTAAAGATTCACGTGCGTTTGGAACGTTGAGGCGGAAGCCTTCTGAAACGGAAGGCCAGCGGGAGTCCAGCGGGAGCGGGAGGCGGAAGCGGAAGAGATCGCGCGGAGATCCGCGGCCGAGCGAGGGGGAGATCAAGGCTGCTGCTACTAGCGATGATGACGAGGCTCTTGCTGCTCGCCTGGTCGCTTCGAGTCTCCTTCCTGCGCCGTCTGCTGTTTTCACAGGTGACTGCTTTCGGACGTCTTGTTATTCTACTCGTCTTGAGGGCCAACTTAGATCGTTAGGACCTGACTTCAGTCTCCCCGCGAATCCATTTCGAGAATCCTCCTGCTGCTTCTCTGCCTGCTTTCTTATCTCTGGTCCATCTCTGTGTGTCTGTTCCTTATGCTGTCAAAACAATTCACCACTGCAGGAGCGCTACAAGCCATCATCCATCAAGCACGCCTTACTACAGCCTCAGGACCTCCTTTCGACCTTCTCACCCCCCCGCCAACTCCGCTCTCCTCTCTCCCTCCCCCCATAATTACCACCTCCTCTCACACCTCTCACACAACAGCTGCTCCACTCACCTCTTCATCCCAGCTACCTCTGCCTGACGCGGCTTCGCTGGATTCCTTCCCCCGCCTGTCGCTAGACACAAGCCATGCGGATCCTTTCACCCAGGGCCTTTCTCTTGGATCATCCAGCTATCTGAAACGTCTCCCTGGGGGCCTTCCAGTGCAATCTTCCAGCCATACGGACCTCTTTTCCAGAAATCTTCCTGTGCAATCGTCTGGCCATGGGGACCTTTTTACCAGAGACATTCCTGTGCAATTTTCCAGTCACGTGGACCCCTTTACCAGGAATCCTCCTGCTCTATCCAGCCATACGGACCCCTTTTCCAGGAAGCTTTCTTGGCAGTCATCCAGTGTTACTGACGCTTTTACCAGGAATCTTTCCGGGCGATGTTCAGGTCTCGCAGACCTTTTTACCAGGAACATTCCTGTGCAGTCACCCAGGCAGATGGATTCTCTTACCAGAAACCTTCCTGTGATTTCTCCCAGCCGTAAGAACCTTTTCGCCAGGAATCTCCATGTTGAGTCCACCCACAGTGACCTCTTTCCAGGAAACATACAATCTTTGAGCCAGACTGCCCTTCCCTCTGAGCCTCTCCCCACGCGATCATCCAGTTACGTACAAACATCCGGCTACAGCCACCAGGTGTCATCGGCCCTTGCAGGCTCCATTCCTCCCATCCGTGTGACGCCGTCCACGTGCACGGATCCAGCTCGCACCTGTTTTTCTCCGGAGGATGAACTTCGGAAGTTACAGGCAGCAGGACCTAGATTGCCGTCCACGTATGAGTGCAAGGAGTGTGGCAGGACGTTCTCGCTGCCCCAGTCTCTCGGCGGACACATGTCCAGACATAGACGAGGTATGCTGGCTGTTGCTTCAGCTCATGCTCTCGGCATTTCCTATCACATCCCTGTTGAGAGTGTCAGTGCAAGTTATTTTTGGATTTTGATGTGATTGTCTCTGATTCGCAGAGGAGAGGCTGAAGCTAATGCACAAGAAGAAGGTGGAGGCAGATACTCGAGAGATTGCAGAAAGCTTGTGTGATCTGCAGACAGCAGCACCGGAAAATTCCGGCAGCGCCCAAAGCGGTGCAGATGCACCTGGCATGGAAGAGAAGCAGAGCGCTGTTATGACAGAAAAGCCAGTTGCTTTTCCTTGGAAGGGCGATCAGCAGCAGCAGCAACAGCAGCAGCAACCATTGGATCAGAAGGTGTCTCAACATCGGCTCACCATGCTGCCGGACCGTGTGCTGGTGCCTCCTGTGTCACCCCTGGTGGACCCTCCCCCACAGCAGCATGAGAGGGAAAGGTGTTTCGAACCAGCCCTGGTTCTGTTGCCTCCTGCTTCGCCCCCTTCGGATTATGTGACTCGGCAGCATAAGCCCGCGAATGAAGATGATCCTGATCCTGTTTCACACCAGCAGCATATGGAGAATGTTCCTAGTGGCATTCTCCCACCAAGTGGGGTCGCAAGGCGTTGGCCTCAAACTGTACAGCTTCAGAGTGACAATCATAGTACTACACACACCACTCCAACTGGCTCGCGCGTTTTGGAGTTTGACTTGAATTTTGCTCCTTCGGATAAGGAGCCATAGTATGGGAGTCCACAGACGAGCGGGCTAGGGATGTAAGCTGTGGATACGTTTGCACATTTTTTTTCTCCTCTCATGAGGGGCGGTGTAGAGCGTGTAAGTATGTAAATATTCAATATGTTTTTATCCTTAGTTTTCCCTGTATAGAGATGATTCAGTTTAGAGCTAGTTACATGAAAAAGAGTGCTTGTAACTAAGTCCTTTCTCAGCTTGAACGATTCGCACACCACCACCAGCCCCAGCTGGCAGCCACACTCCCACCCCATGCCCATAACCTGACGCCCTGAATGTTGGCCTCTGGTAATTCAGCGACATCGCGCGACATGATGTTGCCTTATTCTGACCGTCGATCGAGTTATCTGGACACATCTGCGACGTAGATGGTTCGGTTGGATCATTGACGAAACATATATAGGAGAGAAAATAATTGTTGTGCGCCTCGATCGCGTCATCCACCTGCAACGCGACGGGGCAAACCAAGCTGCTCGTGTCGTGCACCCGATGAATCACATCACAGCACATCGCACCCCATTCGCCTCGCCTCGCTGAACTGTGCTTTTTACAAATCGCCCCCATTGAATCCCATGAGCTCTCCACCATGCTTGCAGCACGCACGACGCATGTTGCTGCGGTTTCTCTGTACGCTTGCTCCTTCACGGGTTCTACTCACCCGTGTTACTGCCGTTCTCGTTAGCATCCGACAGACGTAAGTCTGAACGTTTCTCTTGAACCATCCGGCAACAGACAGAATCACGCCGAACGTTCCTCCTCTTATTCAGTTTGTCGCAGAGATCCAGTTTTCCACCCTGCGACCGGTCCACGAGTCTTAGGTCGCGACTTGCGACTCGCGAGGTGACGTGTCCCACGCGACCGTTACTCGTAGGCGTTTGGCTGCGTACCAAAACATCGTATAATCTTTCCTCGGCTACTCCCACATTAGCGATGCGATACCTCTTCGAATGCACCGTCACAGTGAAAACGAATGCCTATCTCTACACAAGCGACCTCTCACCGTGATTTCAGGGACGTATTTAATTAATTTCGTAGTTTTTATTTGTTTCCTAGTATTTTGTGTGTATCGTAACCGAAACACGGACACAGGACTCCCGGCAGCATTCGCGGATAGCTACCCAGTCGATCATTAGTAGCCAGTAAACCCAACGAACTCCGCCATTGTGTGCTCATCCTACTGACACACCGACTCGGTGAGCCAAATGGAGTGCCTGTAGCCGCGGATTCGGCGTCTAGCGGCGGTCGAAGCTATCATCATGATAGCCACGAGCCAGCCAGCGCAGAGAGCTGATGCAGCGGCGGAGCAGCTGTCGACGGGCGCCGCGGACGATTTCATGGACGCAGCCCGCGGATCTTGGACGCCCGAGGTGCGTTCCCCGCCAGCATTACATTCGTTCTGAGATTTCTCAAGTACATATCTTCCTTCGCCTGATAGACACTGCTGGCGGATCTTGGACACCCGAGGTGCGTTCCCCGCAACAAATTATAACTTCCGAGCTTGGTTCTGAGATTCCTTATGTGCACATTTTTTTCCCTTGTTCGATTAGTTGCTACCTGCGGAACTTGGACAGTCAGGGTACAACAAGGCACCCTTGCTTCTGTTCCCCTCCCTCCCCCTCCTCTTCCTCTTCCTCCCCTTCCCCCCGTTTCCCCCGCTTCTCGTTACCCACGAACAACAGGAGGACGCGATCCTGCTCCTGATGGTGCGCAAGCTGGGCGCGCGGCACTGGAACAAGGTCGCGGAGAAGGTTCCGGGAAGGAGCGCCAAGAGCTGCCGGCTGCGATGGTGCAACCAGCTGGACCCGGCCGTGAAGCGCGGCGCTTTCAGCGCGGAGGAGGATGTGATTCTAGCGGAGGCGCACGCGCGGCACGGGAATAAGTGGGCGCGGATCGCGAGGTACCTGCCTGGGCTCACGGACAATGCGATTAAGAACCACTGGAATTCCACGCTCAGACGGAAACGGCTGGGTGCTGGGACTGGCGGCGGTGATGGTGCTGCTGCTGCTGCTTCTAATGGGTACAATGCAGCAGCGGCAGCAGCAGAAACGGAAGGGAAAAGTATTTATCCCCATTGCAAGCAGACTCGACAACACACAGAAGCAGACGCTGCATTTTTCACGGCCGAGTCCCCTTCTCATCCCCACATCCTCCAAGCAGGAGTGACATTTGAGTCAAGTCGGGAATCAGCTTCTCCCCACACCCTACCAGGAGTCAAGATAGAGCCTGTCGACCAACCGCAGGTGCTTGCAGGTGACATCGGGCCAGGGTGGTGGGAAACGGATCAGGAGAAAGGAGAAGCTAAGTCGGTGTATGAAGCGCCTCAATGGTCGTGGGGAGCAGAGCAGGGAGAAGGGAAGCTAAGAGGAGGAAGACGGAGAGGAGGCATGGCTCTCAGCAGCCGGAGCGTAAGGCTCCAGATGCTCCTACAGTTGAAGTGATTCAAAGCCCTCAAGATGAGGGTGACTGTGAGGAGTGGTGGAAACCAAAGGAGGAGGCTCAGCAACAACAGCAGCAGCAGCAGCAGCAGCAGCAGCAGCAGCAATCGCTGGCGTCGCTACTAGCTGGCTCAAGCACACCAGAGATGTGGGACTCGTTTGAAAGAGCACAGGGGTTGGGCCATGGCGGTGAACGTGATCGAGAGGCTGTCAATAACGCGTATAGGTTTCCCAGCAGCTTTGAGGAGCTCGGGACTGGCTCAGATGCAATGGAAGAGATGCTCAGACACCGGTTGGAAGCCTGGAAGGGGGGTGAACAGGAGGGAGCGCTGAGAGGAGTGTGGGAGGAGGGGCAAGAGAGAGGTCAGGAGGGTGACGATACGAGCGTGTTAAAGGGAAAGACGAGCAGGAGGAGGAGGCGGAGGAGGAACAAAGATGCTGCAAAGGACTCATCATCATCGGCTATCATGACTCTCGCGCTGCTCCTCTCGCGCATGAGTCTAGCTGCCCTCAAGACAGCGCGTCTACTACTCCCAGTCTTCCCCTGTTCAACCCCCCTTCCACCGCCGCTGCTTCTGCGCTCAAAACCAACACCACCGTTACCTGTTCCCCTCTTCCTTCTCCTGTCCTCTGCTCCTCCCCAACCGCTTCTCCTACACCTCCCGTTGCCTCGTCCCACGCCACTCCACCTGCTTCTCCTCATGCCCCGGCACAACCCCCTTCACCTGATCTGGCCTCCCTTCTCGCCCTCTTCCATCCCCTCATACCTTCCCAATCCGCGCCCCTCTCTGCTCCTCCCCTTGCTCCGCCACCAGCCTTTCGAGAACCATCCTCTGACTATTTTCGCAGACAGGACGTTTCCAACCAGCAGCATAGGGATTATCCTCGGCATCAGCAGCAAGAGGAAGAGCAATCGGAGCAGCTGGAGCAGAAAGCGCAGCAGAAGCAGCATGAGCACCAGATGCAACGCAGGCATAGCCGGCGCTATTCAATCGAGGTGACTTTTGAGTCGAATCAAAAGTCACCCGAAGAGCAATCGGAGCAGCTGGAGCAGAAAGCCCAGCAGAAGCAGCATGAGCACCAGAAGCAACGCAGGCACAGCCGGCGCTATTCAATCACTGAGCTCAAGGCTGACCTTGGCCTGTCCCCAACCGACTTCAAACACTCCCCAACCGACCTCCACCCCTCTCCCACCGAACTTAACCACTCTCCATCTGACCTTACCCTTCCACCCACCAGCGTTGAACTTCTACCCACCTAGACATGATCACGAGTCGAGTCGAGCCGAGTCACCTCAAATCGCGGTCGAGTCGGGAGTTGCGTCGAGTCGAGTCGAGTCGAGCCATAGTCGAGTCAGTTTTCCGGAACTGCCGACTCGTGCTCGACTTCTGAAATCGAGTCATGCCTTGACTCGAGCACGAGTCAACAACTCGCGAGTCAGTCTTGACTCGACTTAACCGTAAAGAATTTTTAAGGGCCCCAAAAGTCGTGTCCTGATTCGTAGCTAGCATGCAAGGTAGGAATGACAAAATCCCGTCCCTTCCCCTTTCAGCACAGGTAAATTGATGCGCACCCAAAATTGCGTGAAAGGCGGAAATTGGGTGTCGGCGGAATTTGCGTGACAGGCGGAAATTGGGTGTCGGGGGAATTTGATGTGTGACAGGCGGAAATTGAGTGTTGGGGGGGGGATTTGCATGTCGAGCGGAAATTGAGTGTCAAGGAAGATTTGCTAGTCAAGCGGAAATTGAGTGATGGTCAGGAATTCGGTGACGGGAGAAATTGCATGAGGAAAGGAGGGGGAATTGACAACGGGAATCCACGTGGATAAAGTTGGTGGCCCTCGAGTCAGGCCAGCTCGAATCGAGTCAGCCGACTCGCCGACTCGTGGCTCACCAGACTGTCCAAAGTCGAGTCGGGCGATGCATCGAGATTTCTCCTCAGTTCGACTCGACTCGACTCTACTCGAGTCAGGAAAATAAAATAACTGACTCGACTCGACCTAAAGTCGAGTCGAGCCAGCGAGTCGAGCTAAAACTCGCCTCGATTGATCATGTCTATACCCACCACCCTCAACCTTCCACTCACTGATATGCCTTTTGAAGTTCCAACGATAGACTTCACGTGCCAAGTAGTGAGTGATTTGGACCAGTGTACTGCGGTTGAGATGGGCGTAGAAGGGTTTGGTCTTCAAACAGCACAAAACCAGTGTGATGTAGGTCCGTTGGGTGGAGAGGGGTTGGAAGCAGTGCAGCCAGTGGGAAGTGCATTTGGGGAGGTTTCGGCAAATAGAGCGGATACGGCAGAGAGTGAGCATGGGGAGGAGTGTGAGTGTGAGGAGTGTGCTTGTAACGAGGAGAATGAGATAGAGTTGCATGAGGAGTGTGAAAAGCGTGGCCCTGCTACTGCTATGGGTGAAAATGGCGCGTGTGGCGGGTGTGACAATGGCGGGTGTGACAATGACCCAGACTGGGCAGAAGTAATGGACGGCATGGATCTGCTGCCAAGCAGGCTGCCAGAGGAAATCAACGGTGCTGATGATGGACAGTTGGTTCCCACGGCACAGGTTTCAGAGACTGGGGAGCAGCTTCGCGCCGATACCAGCCGCACCAGTCAAGTGTCACCCGAGCAGCTGCCGCCGCTAGATGCAGCACCAGGTGCAGCACCAGATGCAGCACCTGGAAGCCGCAGTGACCTGCTGCAGCAGGTGGACTGCCTGCTGGCTCTGCTGCGAGCTGCCAAGCGCCCCTCCTCCTCCTCTACCCGCCTACCGCCTTTAACTGCCTACCTTCACTAGCCGCCTGCTCGCTCTAGCTGCCTGCTCGCTCTAGCTGCCTATGTGTCGAAAGTCACTATGATGATTGCTGTGCTGCAGCAGGTGGACTGCCTGCTGGCTCTGCTGCGCGCTGCCAAGAACCCCTCCCTCTGGCCGCCTGCCACCACTTGCTGCTCGCCCCCCTCTAGCCGCAGCACCTGGGAGCTTCAGGTGATTTAAGTCATGCACCTTGATGATTGCTCTGATGCAGCGGGTGGGCTAGCTGGCTCTGCTGCCTCTGCTGCGAGCTGCCAAAAGCCCCTCCTCTACCCGCCTGACGCCACTAGCCACAGCATGTGGAAGTCCGTTAGTTGGGTCGTGTCAAGAGCATTTTGATAAATGATCTGCCGTGCCAGGTGGTTTGCTGCTGGCTGTCAACCAGTATCTCCTCCTCTTGTAACTTACTGCCACTAGCACAAGTTGTAAAGCCATCGGCTGGAATGAAGATCCAGATTCTCTGCATGAATCATGATATTTGTAACGTGTAACAGCAAAGATAACTCGAATATTTGAGAACAACCCCTGTTTCTGACAATGTACGTAACGCGACACAGGTTCTCACAGCTTGTGAACTGCAAAACCGTCAGCTGTGTTTTGTCATCTAATAAACTTGTCATGCCATACCCGTCATAGGCTGCCTTGTTGTGTTACGTCACACCTCAAGCTGCTGCTGGCCGGCCGAGTCAACTATCCGCAAACACTTGTCAATAACGCCGCCCGGAATCAGATTCACGTTCCATAGCTTGACTAGATAAAGCATGAAGCACCTGTTGTAGGGGAAGGGGGAGAGTGAGGGGGGAGGGGAAGGGGGAGAGTGAGGGGGGAGGGGAAGGCGGAGGAGGGAGGAGAAGGGGGAGGAGGGAGGGGAAGGGGGAGAGTTGTCAGCCACGCAGGCAGTTACGAAGGATATTTTATGTCTATATTTTTATTTATGTTTTAATTTAGCCACTTACAATCAAGCAGCGTATACGGGAGAATGGAGGCAAAGATGGAAAACGACAAGTCGAGGGGGCGTGGACTCAAGTGGAGTGAGAGAAAGGGAGCAGAAGTGAGACTCCGCAAAATGGAGGGGACGAAAAACACAGCTTGGGAGTGCAGGGAAGGGCGTGCAGGGAAGGGCGTGCAGGGAAGGGCGTGCGGCACTCACATGCGCGTGCGTGCATGCATGGGAAGGAGGAAAGGAAGGGCTTGTGTGACTTTTGAGTCGACTCAAAAGTCATGGGAGTACAGGGAAGGGCATGCGGCACTCACATGCGCGTGCATGCATGGGGAGGAGGAGAGGAAGGGCTTGTGTGTGATGGCTATCGAGTTGCCTCAGAAACTGTCATTATGCCATTGCAACGAGTGACTTTACCACTGAATACACTAAAAAAGGGTGGGTGACACGGCACTCACATGCGCGTGCAGGGGGAGGAGGAGAGGAAGTCCTTATGTGTGATGGCGAACGCCTCGCACGCCCACGGCACATGCCTGTCCGCTATCACCCTGATGGGAAAAGGCACGCACAATCAGAGACAAATGGAGAGAATGCGTGTTCGCAACTCAACCCAACCCACACACAGCAACCCATAAACCCCATTAGCCAGTCGACGACAAGCAGCACCTACGAACCTCTCACCTGTGGCGGCGCACAAACGCCATCCAGCGGTGCATGATGCCCTTTTCTTCGCCCAGCACGTCCTCGAACTCGCCCAGTAGCTGCACAGCAAGAGGTGAGAGGTGTGTGAAGAGGGGGGAGGGCGGAGAGGGAAGAGGGGGGGCACGAGGGGCAACCAGCACTGGCAACTGAGGCGGCGGCAGCACAATGCGCTTCTCTTCACCCAACACGTCCTCAAACTCGCCCAGCAGGTGCGCGGCGGGCGAGGGAGAATAGGGAGAGAGGGAAGGGCGGTAAGGGGTGTGCACTGTGCAGAAAAAGACGGGGCATAGGAAGACGTAGCTGAGATGTAGGGGGAAGAGGGAGGGCGGGCCCATCCGCTCCCATTCTCCACCCCTCACCCCCCATCCGCTCCCGCCCCCCACCGGCCACCCGCCACCCGCTCCCAATCCCCACTGCACCTTCCTGTCAGCATACGAGGCGGCGGCTTCGTCCCACTCGTCCTCGCTGTCTGCATCCTCCACCATCTCCTGCGCCGTGATTGGCTGGCAGCGGGGTGCGGCGAGCAGTCAATAAGGCGAAAACGTGAAGGGATAGGGAGAGGCATGGGATAGGGAGTGGCATGGGATAGGGAGAGGCATGGGATAGGGAGTGGCATGGGATAGGGAGAGGCATGTGATAGGGAAAGGCATGTGATAGGGAAAGGCATGTGATAGGGAAAGGCATGTGATAGGGAAAGGCATGTGATAGGACAAAAAGTGGCAAGAGGTTAGTCCAAGAGCAGTTTAAGAGAGCTCAAGCTGCTGATGATGATGCGAGCAGGAGAGGGTTCTTTCAATTCTCGGGGGGACGTTTGAGTGGAAGTGACGAGTTGTTGATGGCGCTGCTAAGTGTTGTTGGGCTGACTCAAAATCTGTAACTCACCTGCCATCGCTGCGAGTGGTAGAACGTTCTCTGAAGCAGCCCTGACGACCTGCATTCAGCGAGTAAGGAGGGGTGGTGAGTGGTGAGGGGTAGTGAGTGGGGTGGGGGTGGTGAGTGGGGTGGGTGGGGAGGGGTGATGAGTTGGGAGGGGTTGTGAGGAGGATACACATATTTGCAGCATGTGAAACTGGGTTCAGTAACATATTTTTTCCGTGGCAATTATGCGAGTCATGGCACAGCATGGGCCACCCACCATGCATGCACCCACCCACCATGCATGTACCACCCACCACGCATGTACCACCCACCCACCATGCATGAACCCACCCACCATGCATGCACCACCCACCACGCATGCACCACCCACCACGCATGCACCACCCACCACGCATGCACCACCCACCACGCTTGCACCACCCACCACGCTTGCACCACCCACCACGCTTGCACCACCCACCACGCTTGCACCACCCACCACGCTTGCACCGACTCACCATTTCCTGCAGACCTCCTCCCTTGCCTCCTCTTCAGCCCGCTCAAATCGACGCACTGACAAGAAAGGTTGGGGTGGAGTGGGGGGGGAGAGGGGAAAAGGGGGGAGGGGGGAAAAGGGGAGGAGGGGGGGAAAGGGGGGGGGAAGAGGGGGAGGGGGGGAAGTGGGGGGAGGGGGGGAAAGGGGGGGGGGGGGGGGAAGGGGGGGAGGGGGAAAAGGGGGGGTATGTGGGGAAAGGGGGGGAGGGGGGAAATGGAAAAACCGAGAATTGTTTGTGAGTTCTGTGAGGCAATCCAACAAGGAGTGGGTGGGTGAGACAGAAAGGACGATTGGACAGGGAAGGATGGGGAGTGGGATGATGGGCGGGAGAGGGGGGGTGGGGGCGAAACCGAGAGTGAGAGACTGCAATGAACCGATTCAACATGGAGTGGAAGAGACAGACAGAGAGGAGGGTGGGGCAGGGAAGAGGAGGTGGTGCCAGAGGGATGCAGGAAACACCAAGGTTGGTCTTTTGAGACGTCTCAAAAGGTGCCAGAGGGATGCAGGAAACACCAAGGTTGGTCTTTTGGGACGTCTCAAAAGGTGCCAGAGGGATGCAGGAAACACCAAGGTTGGTTTCTCTTTCATCACACGCAGCAGTTCAACCCGTTGTGACTCCGATGCATCTCCCTCGTTTTCCTCCCCTCACCTCTCTAAGCATCCCCACACATTTCTCCCCTCCTCCTCTGTTCCTTCTCTTCCTTACACATTCACTACCCATGCGCAGCGCACCTCTGTCTCTCAAAGCCTTCGCCTCTGTCTGCATCGCCTCAGCAATCTTTCCAGCTGACTCCAATGACATTTCTTCTCTCTCTTCTTCTCTCTCTTCTTCTCCACTCCCTTCTCCTCACTACCAATGCGCAACCCACCTCTGTCTCTTGAAGCCTTCGCTTCTGTCCGCATCTCCTCAGCAATTCTTTGAGCCTCCTCCATTGTCATTTCTTCTCTCCTCTTCTCCTCCACTGCCTCTGCCTTTCCCTCTGCCTTCTCCATCCCCTCTGCCTTCTCCATCCCCTCTGCCTTCTCCTTCCCCTCTGCCTTCTCCTTCCCCTCTGCCTTTTCCTTCCCCTCTGCCTTCTCCTTCCCCTCTGCCTTTTCCTTCCCCTCTGCCTTCTCCTTCCCCTCTGCCTTCTCCTTCCCCTCTGCCTTTTCCTTCCCCTCTCTCTTCCCCTTGCCCTCTCCCCTCTCCTCCTTCGCTCCCTTCTCCTCTGTCCCCATCCCCTTCACCTCCTCCATTCTCATTCCTTTTTTGCTGGTACGTGCACCAGTATTAGCTCCTCTCCGCCCCTCCTGCTGCACATCCTGCTTTCTCTCACCCATCTTAGCGTTACCTTGAGAATTCCCAGCCTCTGCTGCCCCACGCAGTGAAAAACTTGCACCTCCTGCTTCAGTCCTCGCTGCTCCTGTTATCCCCACCTCTGCTCTATCTGACATTCCTGCCATTCCTTCTCTTGTTTCTCTACCCTCCATTGTTGCTCTATTTGCTGCTTCTTTTGTGTTTCTTGCAGCAGCTGCTGCTCCTGCTCCTGCTCCTGCTCCTCCTCCTGCTCCTCCTCCTCCTCCTCCTCCTCCTCCTCCTCCTCCTCCTCCTCCTCCTCCTCCTCCTCCTCCTCCTCCTCCTCCTCCTCCTCCTCCTCCTCCTCCTCCTCCTCCTCCTTCTCCTCCTCCTCCTGCTGCTGCTGCTCCTGCAGAAGCTCCGTTATCCGTTTCACCACCCACACAAGCGCCACTCGCATCATCGTTTCCATTGCAATTTTCTCCAGCAATATTGGCATCATTATCATCATCATCACCCCATACACCATTGTCACTACTATCCCCGACACCACCACCCCCGCCGCAATCCTCCCCCCTTCCCTCCTTCGCTCTCATGATGCAAGCCGTTTCTTCCGCACCCAGCAGCTCCTGCTGCTGCTGCCGCTGATTTCCTCTGCTTCCTGCCCGCTTGTTACGATGCCTGATGATCAGTGCGGGAGGTAGCAGCAAGCGAGTGGTAGCAAAGAGCAGAAAATCAGAGACTTAGAGAAAGATTTGAAGATTTGAAGGAGAGAGAGGAGCAACTGCACTGCAGCAGCTGCACCACGAGTTGGGAGGTGATCGATCCTCCCGCCAGCAGTTGCATTTGACTTTTAGTTAAAGGCGAGCAAACCTCCCACCCCTCCTAACCCTCCCCAATCCCCCACCCCCCAAGCCCTCCTCCAAAACCCCCACCCCTCTCCCACCCCTCCCACCCCTCCCACCCCTCTCCCAGCCCTCCCACCCCTCCCAACCCTCCCAGCCCTCCCACCCCTCTCCCAACCCTCCCACCCCTCTCCCAACCCTCCCACCCCTCCCACCCCTCCCAACCCAACCACCTGGCACCCCTCCCTCCTCCCACCACTGCCAGCCACCCTTCACACCACTGCAAACGCAGCACCCTCCCTCTCACCAGAAGAACGGCAGGCCTTTGGCCTGTTGCCGATGAACTGATGTCGATGGGGTGACTGCTGGGCGCTCCAGATCCTGCAGGGGAGAAAAGAGATGCAAAGAGATGCAAAGTGATGCAAAGTGATGCAAAGAGATGCAAAGTGATGCAAAGAGATGCAAAGAGATGCAAAGTGATGCAAAGTGATGCAAAGAGATGCAAAGTGATGCAAAGAGATGCAAAGTGATGCAAAGTGATGCAAAGTGATGCAAAGAAAAGCAGACTTGATCTTTGTGTGCAGGGCCCATGTGTGCAGGGCCCATGTGTGCAGGGTCCATGTGTGCAGGAAGCATGTGTGCACCGACCATCACATGTCCACAAGCTCATCATATGCCCATGCCCATGCCCATGCCCATGCCCATGCCCATGCCCATGCCCATGCCCATGCCCATGCCCATGCCCATGCCCATGCCCAGGGCCATGCCCATGCCCATGCCCATGCCCATGCCCATGCCCATGCCCATGCCCATACCCATGCCCATGCCCATGCCCATGCCCATGCCCATGCCCATGCCCATGCCCATGCCCATGCCCATGCCCATGCTTAGACGTGCATGTACGTGCATGTACGTGCCCTGGGCAGAGCATGTGGTTACCAGCTGAGGCTTGCAGGTGACGTGGACGACTGGCAAGGGCTGCTGAAGCTGGGAGATCAAGAGGAGAGAGGGAGGGGAGGGAGGGGAAATGGGGAATGGGGGGGAATGGGGAGGGATGGGAAAGGGGGGGGAAAATGGGGAAGGAGGGAAACGAAGTCACCTTAAATAGACTCAAAAGTCACTTTGATCGGGGTTGAGAGGACAAGGGGAAAGGGGATCGCAGAATCGAGAGGGAAGGGAAAGAAGTGGGGTAGTGGGAGGGGGGAGTGATAGGGAACGAAAAAAAGGCAGGCAAAGGAGGAGTAAGGAAAGCTGCTGACTATGGTTTAACAAGCATGCACTAGACATAATCATTTAAAGTCGTTTTTGAGGCGCCTCAAAAACGACCTGAAGGCAGGGCAAAGGAGGAGTAAGGATAGCTGTTGACTATGGCTTAACAAGCATGCACTAGACATAATCGTTTGAAGGCGCTCCAAGACGGTTTAAGTGTTTTTTGGTTGGGATGCAGTGTAAACATGATAGAGCAGTGCGTTGCGTGCTTGTGAAAGCGCAAGTGCATGGGACTGAGCATGGATCTGGGATTATACAGACAAGCGGACATGGAAATAGGAGGCGCGAACTGGGGTAACACATGAGAGCAAGCAAGCAGGCAGCATCCGAGGAACGATGGGGAAGAGAAAGAATCGACATTCGAGGAGCCTAAAAAACCATCATTGGTGGAAGGAGGAGGGCAATGATAAGGTGTTGACTTCAGACGAGCCTTAGAAAGCATCATGGGTGGAACGATGGCGATGGGCCATGGAAAGGAATCCGGCTTGAGACGATTTTTGAGTCGACTCAAAAATCGATGGCGATGGGCCATGGAAAGGAATCCGGCTTGAGACGATTTTTTAGTCGACTCAAAAATCGATGGCGATGGGCCATGGAAAGGAATCCGGCTTGAGACGATTTTTTAGTCGACTAAAAAATCGATGGCGATGGGCCATGGAAAGGAATCCGGCTTGAGACGATTTTTGAGTCAACTCAAAAATCGATGGCGATGGGCCATGGAAAGGAATCCGGCTTGAGACGATTTTTTAGTCGACTCAAAAATCGATGGTGATGGGCCATGGAAAGGAATCCGGCTTGAGACGATTTTTGAGTCGACTCAAAAATCGATGGTGATGGGCCATGGAAAGGAATCCGGCTTGAGACGATTTTTGAGTCGACTCAAAAATCGATGGCGATGGGCCATGGAAAGGAATCCGGCTTGAGACGATTTTTTAGTCGACTCAAAAATCGATGGCGATGGGCCATGGACAGGAATCCGGCTTGAGACGATTTTTTAGTCGACTCAAAAATCGATGGCGATGGGCCATGGAAAGGAATCCGGCTTGAGACGATTTTTGAGTCAACTCAAAAATCGATGGCAATGGGCCATGGAAAGGAATCCGGCTTGAGACGATTTTTTAGTCGACTCAAAAATCGATGGTGATGGGCCATGGAAAGGAATCCGGCTTGAGACGATTTTTGAGTCGACTCAAAAATCGATGGTGATGGGCCATGGAAAGGAATCCGGCTTGAGACGATTTTTGAGTCGACTCAAAAATCGATGGTGATGGGCCATGGAAAGGAATCCGGCTTGAGACGATTTTTGAGTCGACTCAAAAATCGATGGCGATGGGCCATGGACAGGAATCCGGCTTGAGAGGGCACAGGAGCCACTTTTGAGAATCCGGATTCCTGTGATGCTTGAGCCGGCTTGAGGGGGAACAGAAGCTCACATGGAAGGTGTAGTCAAAGCGGCTGTGAGAAGCTTCCAAGTGATTTCTGAGACCCTGGATGGGAGAGGGGAGGAGAGCGAGGCAGCGAGAATGAGCCGCAGATATTAGCTAAGCGTGCATCGTTCGTTCATGTATGAGATGGCTCGTGTTTTGCGTCGACTCAGAAGCCGCGGATAGTACCTTAGCGCGCACCATTCATTTATGAGAGATGGCTGTTTGTGGCACCTCGAGAGCTCTGAATTGATTCGAGGCACCTTTGGAATGGAAATTAGCAGGCATCATTCACCGACGAGAGAGTGAATATGTGGGAAGAGTGAAGGCTGTGGACTCATGGCATGCACGCACCTTGGCTGAGCCGCATGCGGTGCGGCAGATGGGGCCGCGGAAGCGACGCACGAGTTTTGAGACGTCTCGAACCTCACAAACGGTAGAGGCGGAGACACACCTTGACAGTGCCGCATGCGGTGCGGCAGATGGGGCAGCGGAAGCGACGAACGGCTTGCGACTTGCGCTGGCCGTGACCGAACCAGAAGTGGAAGAGCACCGTGCTGCTGCCACTGGGCTGAGAGGGAGGGGAGGGGGAGGATGATATCTGAGAGTTGACTCGGAAGCGACGCACGGCTTGCGAATAGTGCTGGCCGTGACCGAACCAGAAGTGGAAGAGCACCGTGCCGCCGCCACTGGGCTGAGAGGAAAAGGCGGGGGAGTTGTACGGGGAAGGGGCGAGGTTGGGAGGTTGGCAATGTGAGTCGAAACATGCAGGCAGGAGCACGCTTTCCTGCAGGGATGCGACTTGCTGCTGGCGGTGCTGGCGGTGCTGGTGGTGGTGCTGGCGGTGCTGACGGTGCTGTGTGCTAAGCAAATTGCCGCGACAGCACAAGCTTCAACCCACCTGAGGGGGCAGCAGCACTCTGCCTTGCAGGAACACTCCCCGCTGCTGGCAGTGCTGGCAGGGCGATGGCCGCACATCCACAAACAGGCGCTCGCTCATCTCCTGCCAGAGAGACCCAAGACAGGGTGGTTCAAATCTCGGGTATCATATCATCACAAGCAAAACAACGAGGGCTAGAGGAGGAAGAGGCAGTGTGATCAGAGCACAGCAATCCATGACCCACCCACCCTCTCTGTCTGGCCCATTCTTGGTGACCCACCTACTTCGCTCTGCCTGCCCCACCCCTCTGAACCACCATCACCGCACCACTCTCCATCCCACCCTCTCCGCCTCACCTGGCCTGTCTGGTCGGCGTGTGGCAGAGGCTGCAGAAAGAGAGCGGGTTGCTGCGACGTGCTGCGTGTTGAGTGCGCTGGTCGATCCTGATGGGGTCATGAGAACGTGACACATGGAGTGACGTGTGATGCATGGGTGATGGGATGTGTGACGCATGGATGATGGGTGACGCATGGATGATGGGTGACGCATGGGATGATGGGTGACGCATGGGATGATGGGTGACGCATGGATGATGGGTGACGCATGGGATGATGGGTGACGCATGGGATGATGGGTGACGCATGGGATGATGGGTGACGCATGGGATGATGGGTGACGCATGGATGATGGGTGACGCATGGGATGATGGGTGACGCATGGGATGATGGGTGACGCATGGGATGATGGGTGACGCATGGGATGATGGGTGACGCATGGGATGATGGGTGACGCATGGATGATGGGTGACGCATGGATGATGGGTGACGCATGGGGTGATGAGCGAAGTATGGGATGATGTTCAGAGCATGCGATGATGTTAACAGCATGGGGTGATGTTAACAGCATGGGGTGATGTTAACAGCATGGGGTGATGTTAATAGCATGGGGTGATGTTAACAGCATGGGGTGATGTTAACAGCATGGGGTGATGTTAACAGCATGGGGTGATGTTAATAGCATGGGGTGATGTTAACAGCATGGGGTGATGTTAACAGCATGGGGTGATGTGATGTTAACAGCATGGGGTGATGTTAACAGCATGGAGTAATGTGTGCTCACCACACCACCCCATCATTACCATCGGACTCACCACAACCATTCCCAGACGTAAGTTGATGCAGCGTTGCCGCCAGAACCAGGCTCCACTGACTTGGTGGTTCGGCAACTGGCTCGCCAGAGTAGGTTCGGCAGAAGCAGGTCCGGCAGAGACAGGCTCGGCAGAGACAGTTTCGGCGGCAATAGGTTCGGTGGACAAATGGCCCCAGAAGACGATTCTAGGCTCGGATGCACCATGTCCAAACATGGCTGAGAAGGCAGGTTCGTCACCAGATGGCGACACGCCATTGGCTCCCGAGGGAGCTTTGGAGACATGTGGCACAAAGCCATTGGCTAGTGGACGTTGTTGTAAATTGGCTCCTTTGGTGGCGGTAGTATGGGTGGATGGCATGGGGTGGGATGCTCCATTCACACATGTGCTGCGGATGCCGCGTTGAGGAGCTGTGATGAGGGGAAGAGAAGCAGCATCATGGGAAACGGACAGTGGAGGAGGTGGGTTGGGAAGAAGAGGCAGGGATGGGAAAGAAAGGGACTGGTTGATGGAGGGGAGAGGAGTGGAGTGGAGACACGATGCGTGGATAGAGAGAGGCGACACACTTACGGATGACAAGCAGAAGAACAGATGACGGCCCGCCACTGGCGTCCATTGGAAGCATCATGCGCCTTGGTAGGGAGGATACGGCGCCCTCTGTTGACCCCTGCTCATGCCCACTGCCATGCTCGTGTTGCTGTTGTTCGGAATGATGGGTTGTTGTTGCTGTATTGACCCCGTTCGCTTCAACCCCATGCCATTCCCCTGTAGTCCCGTTGCGCACTGCACCACTGTTGCTGGTACCCGCAACCGCAGCAGCAGGAGCAGGATCAGCAGCAGCGTTGCCATCAGTGCCAGCGCTGCCACCACCCCAGGTTTCGAGCACAGGTGTGCATAGCACGGCAGCAGAAGCCCTCACAGCATACCTGTCCCACGTGCCGGCAGCGGCAGTTGCAGTGACACCGTTTCTTACTGCACCATTCGCAGCAGAACCATTTCCAACTGCACCATTTGCACTGACAGCATTTGTTGCACTAGCACCGGCACCACTAGCACCGGCACCACTAGCACCGGCACCACTAGCACCGGCACCACTAGCACCCGCACCATTTGCACTAGCACCCGCTGCTGGGGTGGCACCGGCAGCAGCAGGAGGAGAAGTGCGTGTGAGAGGAATTGCAAGAATCATGAGGTGAGACGGCAGGGGATGGAGGGGCTGGAGCGACGGAGGAAGAGGAGGAGGTGTTGGTAGGGAGTGGGAAAGAGATGGGGGGCAGCTGGGGGAGGGGAGGGAGAAGGCGGAGGAGGAGGAGCAGGAGGCCATCCGGAGAGAGATGGCACAGGTGCACGGCGGGGGTTCGGATGGGTGAGCGGTGGTGGTGGATGGGGGGAGAGATGAGGGTTCGCAGGGCCTGCAGAGCGAGAGGAGGGAGAATAGAGGGAAGGAGGGATGCGAACACACGAACTATTAGAGCCATATTTGAGACGTTTCCGAAGCTGGCAAGCTAAACCTGGGCGCTTGAAAGAACAAGCTGAGACAATGTCAAGACCCCACTCTAAGCACCACATCGCAACTATCCATCCCCGCCCTATAACCACTGGTGTGTGCCTCCCACCACCCATGCGCCCACTATCCTTCCTCACCCTCCTGCTGTGTGCTTCTCTCGCCACCTCGAACCCCAACCCACTATGATCACCGCACTGTACCCCCCTTGATCCCTCCTCACCCATTCATTGCGTGCCCCAGCTGTTGCTGCAGCTGCCGCCGCTCCTCCCTCTCCTGCTGCGCTGCCGCTTCTCGGCGATACCTCAGAGTGCGTGGCAGGAACACACGCTGCAAGGGGCGAGGGTGGAAAGAGAGTGGGGTCAGCTGGATGGTATTTGAGTCAATTGAAATATGCCGTCTGCCGCATTTGTCGTCGTTGCTCGCTCCTCCCTCTGCTGCTGCGCTGCTGCTTCTCGGCGATACCTCAGAGTGCGTGGCAGGAACACACGCTGCAAGGGCGATGGTGGATTCATGGAAAGGAGTGAAGTCAGTTGGTTGGTCTTTGCGTCAAATCACAAGTCATTTGTTGCACGTGTCTCTGCCGCTCCTCCCTCTCCTGCTGCGCGGCCGTTTCTTGCCGAACCTCAGCGTGCATAGCAGGAACACACGCTGCAAGGGCGATGGGGGAAGCAAGTGAGGAGAATCAACAAGCGGGATAGTGAGGGTGTGATAGGAGCGGAAGAGGGTGAGACGGATGGTGGAGGAAGGGAGTGGGAAGGAGGGAGGAGGAAAGGGAGGGTGGAGAGGGTTTTATGCTCGTTTGGGCTTGCCATACAGATGGCTGCACCATGGTGCTTAAAACGAGGATAACCGTTTCCATCAAAGCAGTCTACACCCTACCATTCTCCAGCTTACAACTGTCCATCTTACCATTCTTCACCTTACCATTCTCCACCGTACCGTTCTCCACCTGAACCTCCGTCGCTCACCGTTTTGCGGAAGAGCCGTGTAGAGCTGCATGGTCTTCATGTAGGCCGGCAGATCTGCCACGCCATCGTCGCCTGCGACGCGATTCTCGCATGCGACGCAATTCCCTAAGTATCACTCTCCACCTCACTATTCTCCACCTTGCCACTCTCCACCTTACCATTCTCCACCTAACCGACGCTCACCGTTCCGTGGCTTTGCAGAGCAGTGTACAGCTGCATGGTCTTCATGTAGGCGGGCAAACCCGCGACGCCATCGTCGCCTGCGACGCCGTTCTTCCCTGCGACGCCATTCTCGCCTGCGACGCCGTTCTCGCCGTGATGCGACTCAGAATCAGGTGTGCCGAAAGCAGACTGGTTGGTAACCCTGTTCTCGCCATCATTGCCGCTCGCCATTTGACGCGAGGAAGCTAAGTACCAAAGAACGAGACTTGACGCGACAATCAAGTCGGCGAAACTTGATGCGCTTCAACTGAAGTTGTCGCTCGCCATTGACGAGATGCGAGTGAGGAAGCTAAGAACAGGTAACCGACACAATCAGGTCGAGGAAACTTGAGGCGCCTAAGATAAAGCTGCAGCTCGTTACTGACGCAGAGAAAGCTAAGTGCGCAGAACCAACAGAATCAGGGAACAAAGTTTGACAACACCAAGGGAACGAATCCCTGGCGGATTTCATCGCTATAAACATTTCCAGTGAAGTACGAGTCTCGGTACCACAAATACGAAATGCACGCTCATATTATAGTGATGTTCCAATTGCTTCGCAAATTTTACCAAATGGGTCATTTCCATAAACATCAGCTGTCAGGAAATAAAACAACGAATGGCTCTATATTCCTTGCAATCCGCTACCCAATCCCAGTTGCAAATCTAAAATATTATATGCATTTGTCCTTTCATCCCCTTCCCTCACAGATGCCTGCTCCATATCATTATTCAGGTAACCACCACCATAAGAACTCTCCACCCTCTGCCTCCTCAACCGGAGCTCATCTTCCTGTGCATGTCTCCCTATAAGCTGCCCCTGTAAGAGCAGCAACTGGCGAAGTTCCTCCAGCTGTGCCAATTCCTCCTCAGCCCCTCCTCCACTTTGATTTTGCATTAGCTGCGGTGCGAGACACCCAGCCCCCCCCTGCTGCAGCAGCAATGCAGCTTCAGAAGCAGATCCAGGCTGTGCCAAGGACGGAAAGGAGCGGTGCTGAATTGGTGGGACGAAACCATGAATCACGTCCAGTGCGTGAGACCCAGCCTTCTGCTGCTGCGGCAAGGCAGCTTCAGAAGCAGATCCAGGCTGTGCCAAGGACGGAAAGGAGTGGTGCTGAGATGGTAGGATGAAACCACGAGTTGAAATGCCACGAGGTAAGAAACCAAGCGATGAGACATTGGAGGTTGTAGCAACAGGAGGTGCCAAACGAGGGGTTGCAAGCCAGGGAGCAGATGTAGGTGTAGTGGTTGTAGCAGCAGCAGGAGCAGGAGCAGGAGCAGGAGCAGGAGCAGGAGCAGGAGCAGGAGCAGGAGCAGGAGCAGGAGCAGGAGAAGTAATGTCAGCAGGTGCAGGAGACCCAGAGGTGAAATGAGGGACAAGAAAAGCAGCCTGGGGAGCCATCGGCACAGTCATAACAGGCACACGTAGGTCACTAGGAACAGTCACTGCCCTTCCCATGCCTGCCTGTGCTTGCTGACCTGCCAACGCCAGTAGCTGACTCCTCCACTCCTGCTGCTGACTATCATGCACCCACTGCTGCTGCTGCTGATGCAACACCTCCTGCTGCCTCTGCCCCTGCTCTTGCTGTCTCTGCTTATGCTGCTCCTGCAGCTGCTGCAGCTGCTGCAGCTGCTTCTCCAGCTGCTGCTGCGCCTCCTGCTCCTGTATCTCCAGCCGTGGTGGCCTATGGGGTCGCAGCCATGCCATATTCCCAGGTGACCCCTCATCTCCTCTCCAAACGCCCCTCCCACCATCCCCTCCAGTAGTTGCCGGCATCACTGCCAGCTCAGCCAGGCCCGCAGGGGGAGCATGAGCTGACACATCAGAGACAGGGATGGGCTGATGCAGACTCACTGGCAGTTGATGCTGGTAGTCTGCTTCAGCTTGCTGTAGCCGTTGCAGCTGCTGCTGCAGCATCTGTCGCTGATGGTTCCCCTGCTCTTGGAGCCACTGCTGTTGTACCTGCTGTTGCAGCAACAGCTGCTGCTGCTCTGGTAACTGCTGCAGTTGCTGCTGCTGAAACTGCGCATGCTGCTGCACGTTTGGCTGCTGCTCCTGCTGCTGCTGCAGCAGCTGCGGTATTGCAGTCTGGGCTTGCTCCTCCGTCCTCCTCAGAACAAAGTCCTCAACCTTTCGCTCTGCTCGCCAGCGCAAGCAGCACAAAAAAGGAAAAGAATTGAGGAAAGGAAAATAAAAAAGGGCTTGATTGTGTAACGTTTACCACGTGTGACTGTACTTGTAGAGGAAATGTGCGGAAGAAAATGAGAAGCCAAAAAGGATGTGTACAAGCAGGGAGCGCTTTGGCACCAAACGAAGAGCCCTCAGCTATACGAGTAGGATAGGACAAATCATGCCATGCCAAGCACCTACACCCTGCCTCACGTTTCCTGTGATCATAAGTCGATGTGAAAGAGATCAGCTCGACTATATGAGCGGGCCATGCCATGCCATGCCAAGCACATGCACCCTGCCTCACCTCTCCTAGCAGATTCACGTGGCCTCCAAGAGCTGATTCATGTGCACAGAACGAACCATACCACGCATATGCACCATGCCACGCACATGCACCATGCCACGCACATGCACCATGCCACGCACATGCACCATGCCACGCACATGCCCTTCTAATATGCGTCAAAAACACCCTTCCTCACCTCTTCGGTGCAGATTCATGTGGCCTCCAAGCGCGCGGAACGAACCATACCGTCATGCCACGAATCGTTCAAGTCGCCATGCCATGCCATGCCATGGCCAGCACAAGCCTCACCTCTCCGGTGCAGATTCATGTGGCCTCCAAGCGCGCGGAACGAGTCGAATTCCTTGCCGCAGAATCGGCACTCACGACTCGCTTTCACGCCAGGACCAGCTTCAAAGTCCCCTGTATTCTGTGCTTCCCCTTTACCAGTCACAGCACCCGATCCCGACAAAGAATGAAGCAGCTGCTGCTGCTGTGGCAGCGTGAAATGCTCCTCGTCTGTACGCTGCACTTGCTGCAGAATCGCCCCCTTGTCTTTCTGCATCACACCCGTTGCCGATTCGAATCCCCCTTGTTCTCGTTCTTCTGCTTGTACTGCTCGTGATTTCTCTCCTGCTTTCTCCCCTGCTTTTTCTCCTGCTTTTCTGGCTCCTGCTTCCTCTCCACCTACACCAAAACTTGCGCTTTCAGCTGCATCCCCACCTCGTCCCACCCCAAGAGCTCTTCTCAAAGTGGCCCCAAGCATTGGCCAATCAGCCGCAGCCGCCTTCACCTCGTCCTCGCTGGGAAGAATCCGCCGCTTCTTCGAATTACCACCACCTCTCCTGCTTCCGCTGCCACTTAACCAAGAGTTTCTCTCAAAAGGAAAAGCTTCACGTCCTGTACGTACCGCCAGGCTCTTCCCCCCCCTTCCCTCTCCTGCCAAATTTATTTCGCTCCTCTCCGCAGTCCTGTTCCAAGCCCTTCCTGCACCTCTTCCGCTGTCACTGCCCTTAAAGCCTAACCTTTCCCTCTCCCTCGTTTCTGGACGCTCCTTATATTCCACGTGTGACTGTAATGAAGGGTTCTCCCGCGCCCTCCTGCTGCGGCTGCTGCTCAAGCTCCGGGCCAGGTTACTCTCCGCAGTACAGTGCAAAGAGGCGTCTGGCGCTACAGCCATAGACGGAGGTGCTTGTAACGGGGATGCAAGATGCGCTACACCGAAACCCTCGCGGAGAACTGCAGTCGGAGCCGAGTAAGGAACGCAGTCGTGCGACGACGGAGGAGCACATGAGAGATCCAGAGATGGTGGTGGTGCCCTGGAAGGGGCACTCGCAGCAGCAGCAGCAGGATCGGCAAAATCAGCAGAATCTGCCATTGAAGCTGCGGGTAAAGGGACTTGTGAAAGAGATTTTCCCAAAGATTATTCTTGAAAAAAAGGCAACAAGTGGCAGGTGAGGAAGAGATCTACTCTGAATGAACGCTGGGGATCGCTTATTCCGCGTAGAAAGCTCGTGTGTGTGATACAGCAGGAATCACATGGGCTGATTTGCAGCTCAACACGTCTCGAGGATGGGAAAGCCTTCTGCAAAATGGAACAGGCAACCAAGTAGCCTGCTACCTCCTCTTGTTCGGCTCTTGCCAAGAACAGACTAGTTAGTGGTTGGTCCGGCCTGAAGAGGAGACGCCGGCGTGCCGAAGCAGATAAACAGCCTGAGATCTCAGATCGCTTTCTGAAAGCCCATCCACGCGCTTGTGCTGCGAGCGAAGCCCACCCGCACGGAAAATCAAGAGGTTGCGTGCTCTCGCACGCTTCAGGCTCCTGCTGAGGCATGCCTGCTGACGACTTTCGCGCGGTATATCAAGAGGTTGCGTGCTCCCGCACGCTTCAGGCTCCTGCTGAGGCATGCCCGCTGACGACTTTCTCCGGAATCGCCCCTGCTCTTAAGAGCTCTGCTGACGCTCGGGCTGAGCCGCGAGCAGCGAGCCCTCTTGTCGCGACGCTGGGTCCGTTGAGATATTCAACTGTGCGCTCGACTCTTCGTCCGATCAACGGCTGCCTGATTTGGTTGCAAGCAGCTGCCACCCAGCTGGCCCTTACCTTCACCCACATCAACATTTGTTCACGTGAGAATGAAGTGATAATCGCACGCAAACCATCTTCGAAATCTGGAGAACGCCGAGGGAGACTGGATCTTACAGGCAGCTTCAAGACAGCCGGCCAAAGGCCACGACACGCACCCTGATGAGGCATCCTAGAAGTTGCGTCTACGCCGTAAACTAAGGTACTGGTCATGCAGCAACCTGTGCACGTGTCATACGTCAACGTAAAGCTCATGCATACGCTCGATGACGTGTGACGGATGGAGTTCACCAACTAGTTGACGGCACAAGCACATATCTAGGGCCTGAGATAAAGACAAAGACGAAAGTGCAGACAAAGACTCCGAAAAAATGGAGGTCAAAAGGATATACACCCTGTTTTCCGCTAGTAGAAACTCCGGAATCAGTGTGAACAGTGTTACTGTTCCTTGGATGTATTCGGAAAGTTGACTAAAACCTTCTTTAGCAGGTGGGTTTTCAGATATTTCGTTAATTGGTTGGTTGGTTGTGGGCTTTGTAACGTCCTCGTCGGTCGTGAGGGCAGCAAACCTTCGGGATACTTCGAGGTCATGGCTCGGCGACGGGTTACCGGGCCCAGCCCGTGATGCGTCAGCGTGGCTCGGTTCGGGTTAC